GGTGGTTCTAACTTTTAGGGGCGGCATCCCCCATATGTTGATGACTTAACTTGGGCATTTGACCTACCTTGTGTTACAGGTCCTTTGGGGTGTCTGATTCAAGATCATGACTAGATTCAACTTGATCCCTTGAGGATCATCTTCTGTTATGACTGATAACAGGTCGGTTGCCGATTCGTCGGTCTACGACTCAATTCCAACTCACCCTCCACACTCAACCTAAAAGGCTTTAGCCTTGGTGATTTCATTGTTTCATTAAGGTTTTACCCGGACTTTTATTGAATGACCATTTAACAAAGGTATTGAGTATTTAATTAAGGTTGGTTGGACACGAGGTTGAGGTTGCATGGCTAAAGCGAGGGGTATGAGTGTCGAAGATGGTTGGGGTTGACTCTGTGTAGTGCGTGGGCTGTTGATTGACTCGTTGGTGTGATTGGAGGTATGTGCTGTGAATCAGATTCTGGATTTGGTTGTCTGCGATCACATATATACGTATGGATGTGAGGGACCTCAATGAGACTGTGAGAAGTGATCGTCACATACTTTGTCCCTTCATATATATATATATATATATATATATATATATGGGTGTACTTGGGGTGAATGTCTGCATGAGCAAAGGGGTCTCGTACTAAGAACCTACTCAGAGGTTAGGACTGAGAGGCATAGGGAAGACCCTTCCTCTTATTTTATTTTGCTTCTTGGGGATTTTCCTTAGTCGGACGTTGGTCCTAGTTCGGGATTCAAGGTCCTTGTCTAGGACATCCCAAGCCCTAGGCTCTGTAAGGGAAGGGTTTCCCCTCGCGCAGAGCCTATTCGCATCGCCCGTCGAGGCACCCCACCCTGAAGGCGGAAATGTCGCGAGGGCGGAACGACGTATAACCCCTCACGATATATTCCTTCAGCCTTGTAAGAGCAGGTCGGGGGTGTCCTTCTCTGATATGAGGAACCACTACCGTACGGGGAGGGGGGTGATACCTAGGGTGGCAGGGTAGAGTCAAGGGTAGGGGGGCTAATTGGATAGAAGATAAGGGTTTACCATGGGATGAGATTATATATCAACTGATAAAAAAGAGGGTAGGGACGGAGTAGGGGGTTGCCTTATTCTGGGGCAGGGACTGTGGGTGGGTCCATCAGTCCTTGCGGAGGCGGAAATGGGCAAGGGGCGGGGGGCATGCTTTAGGTGGGAACTGCGTGCTCCTGGGAAAAAGGGGGGAGAGGATTGGTCCTATATTGGGGCCGAGGGAGAGTGAGTGACTCTCCTCGGCGGAGGCAATATAGGGCTGACGGGGAAGGGGTAGGGGGAGGGAGGCGCGATCTCTCTCGAAGAAATCTATCATCCAGTTTACTATAGTTTCCCATTTGGTTGCCTCTCGAGGAGGTTGTAGGAATAGGTGTTATCTGGCAAGCCATCTATGATCCTGCGAGGGGTGGTTAAAAAGTCGGTGGCCCTCGAAGACCGATGTTGGAGCAACGCTGGCCGGAGCCGGAGCTAGGTGGCGCAACTCTGTGACCTAGCTTAGTGGGGGCGTGAGGCCTAGTGCAGAGCTCTAGGCGGCTGTTTGTGGGGGCAGTCCCAGTGGTCATCGGGGGTCGTAACTAGAGCAACGCTGGCCGGTGCTGGAGCAAGGTGGTGGAACTCTGTAACCTAACCTGATGGGAGCATGAGGCTTGGAAGAGCTTCGGTTCGTGCTAAAATTAACCATGCTGGTGGTGGTCGTAGGGGGATTGAATAGGTTTCACCTATCATAGGATTCGTGATGGGGAGGCTTATTGACACACATATTCTTTTGACTTGGTAGAGTCTGAATGGAAAAAAAATCAGTTGTTCTTATGAATGTCTTAGGACTTTAGGGTTTCTTAGCAATCCATCTTAGGCGGCTTTGATGCTGTTATACTCAATGATCTGTGGTCGTTCGATGCCAGAACGACGCTGGCCGGTGCTGGGGTGATGCCCTGTAACCTGCTGATGCAGGAGCGTGAGGCCTGGTAGAGAGATCTGGGGATGCTTTGGGGTGGGCATCCCAAGGGACGACCAAGCGTTGCTGCTGGGATGACGCTGGTTGGAGCTGGGGCGAGTTGTGTTGCCCTGTAACCCAGCAGGGTAGGGGCGTCATCCCAAGGGACGACCAAGGG